CCTTATGTATTCTGCTGTTAAGTATTTGTAAGATGCGAAAATTGGATGAAAATCATGTCCAAATTGGTTTCCAAAAGAGTTCTAATTGAATAAGGAAATTTGCCTTCGCGCGCGAATTTTTTTGTCTCTGCACAACAGTTAGTAATTCGTTTATAACTTTCTCTTCCGATATCCGATTTAGAAGATTCAAAATGCGTTAGAAAGATAACTCAAAAAGCTATAAATTTGTTAGAAATATCTTTTTTCCAATTCGGACATTTATTATGCCAAAAATGGGTCTCAATTTTTTGCTAAAAATCTGAAATATATCTTGTGCGAATTGGAAATTGATTTTGATAATATTTTGATCATATTTCATTCCTTTTTGACTTCTGATTGCTTCCAATCCACCCTTAGCATTCTCGAACCTTCATCAAGAGCCCTGACACAATTTTTAAGTATTTGCACTTTAGTTTCTGAACTTTCACTTTCTTCCATTTTAGTCATTTTTAACTTGTTTCTTCTTATTTACGTTACATTCATGACTCGTCCTACAAAATATAAATTACATAGAATTAAGCTATATTCCAACATGTTAATCAACAATTGCTCATGTTTTGACTGTAAAATAAGTATGTAAAAACGCACTTATCAAGGTCAAAACGAAAGGCTTAGAGATTAAAAAAATGTTTGGGAATAAAATGGGACAAAAACGAGTCTTGTAGCAACATTTGACATGTAAGACGACTAGACCGCAATAAGACAACTAGATTAACTGAGTAATACTATTTGTAATGGTGTACAGATAGGTAACATAAAAGAGAGATTATAATAACCGAATTTTTTTTCCATCTCTCTCTCTCTTTCATGTCATTTATTTATATATCATTATATACTTAATGATGTATAGCATTAATTAGTTGGTTGACCTCTTTCTGGTGATCGTCAATATCGGCCTACCGAATTTCTTTAGACAAAAAAAGGGTATTTTCTACATTTTCCTTGTGCGTGAATTCCTAGATAATATACGGAGGGACATTTATGGCAAATTATTCCATGGTTTGAAGTTTAGAGTATAGAAGCACTTTTTGGAAAATCGAAGGGGGATTGATCTTGGATTTTTTTGGCTATAAAAGAGTGAAGAATGAAAATAAATGATAAACATCAAACAAAATTCGGGGAAGAAGGTGATCAAAGAGACTCCACAATTTTATTTTATTTTTTTTTGCTATAATGTACACAGGCTTTCATAGCACTTGTTTTGTCTGAAATGGAACTACAATTTTTTTGGGCAGATCAAACCCAATGTCGAGACTTGTAATAACCAGTTAGCTACAATTTCATTAAATTCAATTCAGTAAATTGGGTGTTCTAATGAAATCACGTAAACATATCATCACAAAAGATTAATACAAGACTCATAATGCATAGAAATGTACATGTAACATGCATTCGGTATCGAGTCAAGGATATTTTGATAATCGTATAACTAGAACGGTATATATAAAGATGAATTCCAAAAAAAAAAACATAGATATTCCAAAGTCTTGCGCTGAATGATAAAATAACAAACGGATTCTAATTTTTTACTCCAACCACACCAAAAGTACTTTTCTTCTTTAACATATCATCCTTTATTAGTCTTCTTTGCTGATTCCCTTTGTAACCCATACTCTGATCCCTTTGTATCCCATGCTCTGATGTCCACTATAAACTGAAAATTCACAACAAAAAACAATATAATACAGGCAATCATTTACAAAGGGAAAAAAAAGGGCGAGAGTGAATTTGAATATATATGTACCTAATGAACTTATTTCATGTGAAGAAAGGAGCAATGACATGAAAAAATAAGTCAAATCTTTTTATTTTTGCTTCAAGATTTACCTCAAAGAAAGAGTTTGTTCCCAGACAATCAAGCCTCCTAAGAGCAACTTCACAGCTTTGTGAGACAATAGGATCAGGATCCTTAGAAAATTCCTTGAGCAGCTCGATACATTCGCAGTCTACAAATCCATAAGATGCATGAAAGAAGAAAATTATAACATTACAGATTAAGCGAACTAAATATAAATGAAATCAGTTTATTTATTTATACCTATTCCAATCATAAAAATTTGTGCTCGACTGCCTGGTAATTAGTAGAGTCCGTACTAATTCAACATACAAACCAATGTACGTCTGATGCGATATATTAAGGCCTGTTTGATGTTTATTTTCCGTGGAACATAATTTCCAAGTTCCATGGTTTGTGGTGTTTGATACCCAATTTTTTCCATGGAATTCATTTTCCCCCAACCCCCCACGTTACCCCTTTTTCCTTCCATTCAATGAATTTGTTTTCCCACCANTTTGTTTGATAACCAAAATTTGCCACCAGGTTAATTTTTTTTTTGGCAATGAAAACAAATTCTATGGACAATTCTAAAAATAATTTTCCCTTCAATGGACAATTACTATGGAAAACAAAGTCAAACGAATACCAAAAGTCCAAAATTTCAACATTTTCCAGGTTGAAAATTATATAAATCAAACACAATTAATTGACAAAAAAAAAAAAATTTTGGCAATTCAATTCCCTGGAATTCATTTTCTTTCCACCCAAATTCCACTCTTGCAATCAAACGGACCCTTAGTATCAAATAATATCTGCTTAAAATGAAACATAAAAAAATTAGAAACGTGTGCTTTCATCTTCTTAAAATGGACATGAAAACTACGAACTACCAATATTTTCAAGAGATTTTCTGTCAAGTGACAGGTATATTCCTTTCTTACATCCTAATATTCAGAATTGAAAGGAATTCAATACTTCAATCCCCTTAAAATTTTTATATCGATTTGATGCAACATTTTCACCAACTCCTAAAATTAATTTAAATGGAAACAAAAAATAATTTATAGATTTGCATCTAGGGTATATTTCAGTCCCTAAAATAAGAAAAATTACTTCTAGCCCGACAACTAGACTCACTGAAAGAATATTTTTCATTCTAATGTATTGCCACGGTCAACTTACTATCATATGATTAGCATGCCTCAAATAGCATAAGACGAATATGTCAAAAATACAAGTGGTAGAGGACATACATGTAGTCGAACCAAGACCTTCGACATCTGCAATAGAATTAAGAGCTTCAACAGCTTTAATTCTAACCATAGGATGTTCTGAGGCATTCTGAAGAACCTGGGAGAGAGCATGAAAAGCTTTTTTGTCCCCCAATTGGACCAAGCAATAGGCAATCTGAGGATCAGGTCAATAAAACATTAGACGTTCAAGTAATGGAGTCAATTCCTCCAGTTACAATCCGAATCAACTTCGCAAAATTAAAAAACTATTTTGACCATGTGTGTTTGTGTGCATGTGATCTCTAATGCCCTGTTTGACATCCATTGTTTCAAAACTCTTTTTTCTTGCGTACTCATGTTCAACCACACATTCATACGATAAACCATTCTGCACAATCCAAAACTTTCCCCTAACCACACGTTCTACAAAAAATCACAATTCAAACCTCCGTTTTACCCAAATAGTGGTTATCAAATAGTGCGGAGTTTAACGACTGGTCAGAAAGACTCGACATACCCCAAAAAATAAAGCATAATATGAAAACATACATGGTGCCGTAGAATAGGGCTTTCTGCATCTAGGGATTCAATGATAGCTGAAAATGCATCCTCGGTATCACCGGTTCGAGATATACAAAGAAGTCGGAGTCCGAAGAGTGCAGAGCAGCGCTCATATAGGCTATTGTCTTCATTCAGTAGAACTTCCCTGAATAATATACAAGAGAATAAAACAATTAATTATTTAGACGGTAAGAGCAGATTATGATTATCATTCCAGATCAAGAATTGCAAACCTTAATTCCGGAATAGGTCGAAAGACAGGTGGAGCTGGTTCGCGCCCCTCGAAATATATTAATTTATCGGGGGTAGCATTTTTTAGTTCCCTAATTCGAGTAAGAGCCAGTTGACATGTATCTCGAACTTCTTGAGATGGATCCGATTGGAAGCTATTCTCCAAAACTGGAACACTAGTCTCTAAACCAAATGCACCAAGAGATTCTGCAGCCTGTTATATGGACAGAGTATGAAAACAGAGGAATATCCATTAACCGAATTCGAAAGCCCGATACCTTTAGGCGAACAATAGGATGCAAGGAAAGATCCTCTACAACAGCTTCTAATGCGGGGATAGCAACAGGTCTATTCATCTGACCCAAATTATATGCCGCCTCATATGCCAGCAGGGTAGATTCATCCCTCATTGCTAGAGCAGAAAATAAAATAAAACTTTTGTCACTCTAAAAACAAATAATATAATTAAAAAGATAAAGATAAAACCGAAAAGCTACATCTCGTTTACATACGCTACCTTTGATGAGGGAGTTGAGGGCAAGGGGATGGCTACGGGCAGTGCTCAGACGGAAAGCTCTAAATCGCTCTGAAATTGGTCGGTTTTCATCCAACAACAGATTGCATAAGAATTCCACGGAAACCCGTCTGTCAAAATTCATATTGAACGCAAATAGCAAGAGCAGGAGGAATTCAATTGCTAACCCTAGATCCCAAAATGGGAGAGACGCGGAACTTTATGTTAGAATTTCCGTAATAACACATGACCTCCTTGCCTTTTCATTAGTGTGGAATACGTTCTCATCTTTCATTGTTTGACATTTTTACCCCTATTTTTACTTTTTATCCATTTTTCAATTAAAAATTATGAAAATTTCGAATGTACCCTTCTATTTAAATAAAGAAAAAAACCTAACTGAAATTATAGTCCCAAATTTTTCTAAATGTGCAAATGAGTCTCAAATAAATTAGTAAAATGATAATTAGAGGGTGTTTGGTGGAGATTAAAATTAGATTTTTAGTAGATTGTGATATATAAGTTTTTGAAATTTGTGGTTGAAAAGTTGTTGGACCCATGAAAGATGTAGTTAATATTGATTGTTTGATTTTGAGTTGGATTAAAATCAGATTTTAATGCGGACCAAACAGGAGCTTAGCATATAATGTCTGCTAAAAGCCTCATCTTTACTTTGCCATTGTCTGTGTCTGTATCATCATCAGGTTCCACCTCATCTTCACTGATTTCTTCATCTCTGCTATGAGGAATCAGATTATTTGTTTTTGCTTTAACAAGTGAACTATCTTCCCAACTCCATATTGCATTTTCATCCCCTTTAAGATCCCTGCTGGAGATTAACTTTTTTGACTGAGGATTGAACACTCTATATCTCTTGGCATTGTTGCAATATCCAACTAATATCCCAACTTCAGTCTTTTCACTTAGCTTATCTCTCTTTGCATCAGGAATGTGAGTGTAACAAACACTCCCAAACACCTTCAAGTATGCGATATCTTGTTTGACATAATACCAAGCTTCATATCGAGTTTTCTTCTCCAATGATTTTGTAGGCAAACGGTTGAGGAGATAATCAGCAGTGTTAACTGCCTCCGCCCAGAGCTCCCTGGCAACATTTTTCTCAATCAACAAACATCGGGCCATCTCCATTATAGTTCTATTTTTCCTCTCACTGACTCCATT